TTTAATACATCCTTCCAGTGTATCATTATTGCAGATATAAACAAAAATCAATATACTTCTGTGGTTGTCAGAATAATGGCCTCCCAAAAATGTCCATGTGCTAATCCCCAAAACCTATTAATTTGTTACTTGATGTGGAATAAGGACTTTGCAGATGTGATTGAACTGAGGATCTTGAGATTGGAGATTATTCTGGATTACCCCAGTGGGCCCAATGTAACCACAGAGGACCTTCTAAAGGGGGAGGCAGGAGGGTCAGAGTCTGAAAAAAAAGAGAGGTTGGCAGATGCTATACTGTTGGTTTTGAAGATGGAGGAAGGGGCCATGAACCAAGGAATGCGGGTAGCCTCCAGAAGTTAACAAGGCAAGGAAATGGATTGTTTCCTAGAGCCTCCAGGAAGGCAGCGTTCCTTAGACTTCTGACCTCCAGAACTAGCAGTGAATAAATTTGTGTTGTTTTAAACCACTAAGTTAGTAGTAGTTTGTTACAGAAACCACAGGAAATGAATACAACTATTTCCACCTTTTTCTTTTTCTTTTAACTGTTATTTGAGGTTCAGGGATGCATGTGCAGGTTTGTTATATAGGTAAACTCGTGATATGGGGGTTTGTTGTACCGATTATTTCGTCACCCAGGTACTAAGCCTAATACCCAGTAGTTATTTTTTCTGATCCTTTCCCTCCTTCCACCCTCTGCCCTCAAGTAGGCCCCAGTGTGTGTTGTTCCCCTCTTTGTGTCCATGTGTTCTCATCATTTAGCTCCCACTTATACATGAAAACATATAGTATTTGGTTTTCTGTTTCTGCATTAGTTTACTAAAGATAATGGCTTCCAGCTCCATCCATGTTCCCACAAAAGACATGGTCTCTTTCTTTTCATGGCTGCATAGTACTCTATGGTGTGTATGTACCGTATTTCCGCTGTTCACAACAGCAAAGATACAGAATCCACTTTTTTCTTAAATGAAAGTTAGCATACCCTGTATAGGGTAACCCAAAAGCCTTGGTGGAACTTTAGGCATTAATAACTTCAGAATTATAAATGCTACAAACATCACTTGGAAGTTGTATTATATAAATCTCTTTTATGCTTATTTAGTTTTGTGAATTTTAAATAGCACATTTTGTTTTTTGTTTCAGTATCTCTGATCAAAGATAGAAAACAATAATGAAACAAAAACACTAAGTTTAAAATTTATTATTCCAAATTCACAAGACTAAGTGAATAAGAAATGTATACAAGGCTGAGCATGTTGGCTCACGCCTGTAATCCCAGCACTTTGGGAGACTGAGGTAGGTGAATTGTTTGAGCTCAGGAGTTTGAGACCAGCCTAGCAACATGACAAAACCCTGTCTCTACCCCCCAAAAAAAGAAAATTAGCCAGGTGTGGTAGTACATGCCTGTGGTCCCAGCTACTTCGGAGACTGAGGTAGGAGGGTCACTTGAGCCCAGGAGGTTGAGGCTGCAGTGAGCTGTGATGGCACTACTGCACTCCGGCCTGGGCAACAGAGACCCTGTCTCAAAAATTAAAAAAATAAAAGCTCTTTCCTTGCCTAACGCAGTCATGGTTGTGGTCCCAAGAAGCATCTGAAGCGGGCAGCAGCTCCATAGCATTTGATGCTGGATAAATTGACCCATGTGTTTGCTCCTCATCAATCCACCCATCCCCACAAGCTAAGAGAGTGTCTCTCCATCATCTTTTCCTAAAGAGCAGACTTAAGTATGTCGGACACGAGATGAAGCAAAGAAGATTTGCATGCACAGTTTCATTAAGATCAATGGCAAAGTCTGCACTAATGTAACCTACCCTGCTGGATTCATGGATGTCATGAGCACTGACAAGATGGTAGAGAATTTCCCTCTGATCTATGACACCAAGGCTCCCTTTCCTGTACATCATACTGCACCTGAGGAGGCCAAGTACAAGTTGTGCAAAGTGAGAAAAATTTTTGTGGACACAAAAGGAACCCCTCATCTGGTGACTCATGATGCTCATACCATCTGCTACCCTGATCCCCTCATCAGGGTGAATGATACCATTTAGATTGATTTGCAAAATGGCAAGATTACTGGTTTCATCAAGTTCGACACTGGAAACCTGTGTATGGTGACTGGAGGTGCTAACCTGAGAAGAATTGGTATAGTCACCAACAGAGAGAGGCACCCTGGTTCTTTTGATGTGGTTCATGGGAAAGATGCCAATAGCAACCTCAACAAACCCTGGATTTCTCTTCCCCAAGGAAAGGGTATGCACTTCACCATTACTGAAGAGACAGACAAGAGACTGGTGACCAAACAGAGCAGTGGGTGAAATGGTCTCTGAGTGACATGTTAGATCTTTGTACGTAATTAAAAATAATATGGGCCAGGTGTGGTGGCTCAAGTCTATAATCCCAACACTTTGGGAGGCCAAAGGGAGTGGATCATCTGAAGTCAGGAGTTTGAGACCAGCCTGGCCAACATGGCAAAACCCCGTCTCTACTAAAAATACAAAAATTAGCCAGGCGTGGTGGCTTGTGCCTGTAATCCCAGCTACTCGGGAGGCTGAGGCAAGAGAATCACTTAAACCTGGGAGGCAGAGGTTGCTGTGAGCCAAGATCGAACCACTGCACTCCAGCCTGTGTGTCAGAGTAGGACTCTGTCTCAACAATTATTTAATTAATTAATTAAATAATAATAATTATTATATGGCATGATTAATCTAAAAAAGAAAGAAATTTACACAATTAAGTTTTCAAGTCGTGTTTCTTCTATGTTTATAGTACTTGTACTTCTAACATTATAAAAGTTTTGAACTGCACTAAGACTTTTGGGATACAATGGATATTGCTCAGCACTTTGATTTTTGTCAGTCAACAGTATATCCTAGGGTTTTTGTGTCGATATGCAAGGGCTTCTTTTTTTCTTTTATAGTTGCACAGTGTCCTCTCCTGTTGGTGTACCATGATTTATTTAAGTAGTCCTCTATTAATGGATACTTGGGTTGTTTTTAATTATGAAGTGTGCTACCTGGGTAATCTTGTACATAGATCATTTTGTGTTGTGCAGGTAGATCTGTAAGTAAATTATCAGAAGTAAGGATGTTGGGTCAAAACCCTACTCTTCAGAAACAAGATTTGCATGAGCTTATTTGCAGGAAAGTTAAAAGAAGCAATAACAGGATGTTATAGATTGTTGGTGGATTGTGGTGGAGAGTGGTAGACTCTGGCAAAGAGGGCTACAGTTATTCCCCCCGTCTCTCTGCCTGCTCTGGTTCACTGTGACTTTGCCGCTCGTGTCATCAAGAGGTCACGTTTATTTATTTACACATTTCGTTTTATTGACACATGTTACATGTATATATTTTCAGAGCACGTGTGATAATTTGATACATTCATGTAATCAAATCAGGTAATTGGGATATCCATCACTTTTTTTTTTTAATTGAAACAGAGTCTTTCTCTGTCACCCAGGTTGGAGTGCGGTGGCACGCTCATGGCTCACTGCAGCCTGGACCTCTCAGGCTCAAGCGGCCCTCCCACTTCAGCCTCCCCAGTAGCTGGGACCACAGGCTTGTGCCACCACACCCGGCTAATTTTTTGTATTTCTTGTAGAGAAAGAGTTTTGCCATGTTGCCCAGGCTGGTCTCAAACTCCTAGGCTCAAGCAATCAACCTGCCTTGGCCTCCCAGAGTGCTAGGATTATGAATGTGAGCCACTGTGCCTGGCCAATATCCATCACTCTAAACAGTTATCTTTTCTTGATTCTAAGAATGTTCAAATTATTCTCTTCTAGCTATTTGGAAATACATAATCAATGAATGTTAACTATAGTCACCCTACTGATCCATCAAACATCAGGTCTTATATCTTCTCTCTCATATATATTTGTACCCATTAATCCAAGGTCAAGTTGACTTCCTGACTCCTGGAATCTGGGCTGGCTAGTGACTGGCTTTGGCTAATAGAATGTGGAGAAAGTGATATTATAGGACTTCCATGCTGGAGCTTTGAAAGGCCTTGCGGCTCCCTCTGTCTCCTTCTGAACCCTGAGTCCTCCAGGAAAAGCCTGGGTGCCTCCACAAGGATGAGACAGCCAGAGAGTCAGAGAGCCAGCAACCAGCACAGGTGGGAAGGCTGTCATGGGCCATCCGGCCCCATTGGAGCCTGTGGACGACATGCAAGTGACCCCAGGCCAGACAGCAAGAACACCGAGCCAAGCCCAGCCCAATCATCAACCCAGAGGCCTGCTGTTGTTGAAAGTTTTGAGGTGCTTTATTATGCAGCAGTAGAAAACCCATGCCTCAGGGAAGTAGTTTCTCTTCACAAAACTTTTTTGAAAGGATATACAGTATGTTAGTCACAGCAGGTAAAGAACTTTCAGAGTAGCCTGTGGACTGTCAGAAATTTTCTGAGCAAGTCCAATTCAGCTCGTCTCGTTTAGCAGGGAGTGTAGGAACTATGGATCCACACCTCAACCCTGAGCATGCCAAAAGCCTGGCTGACTCAGCACACTATCTCATTTCACAAAGAGACAATGGAAGGCTGAGTGTGTGTTGAGGGTGGCTAGGTGAAGGGGTCCCCCACTCCCCGTGAGGCATTGCGTTTCACTGTTGGGCAGCTTCCAAAGTGAAAGGGAAGGAAATCCACTCCTACAGCTTCCCTTCTGAGGCACACTAAGTCTCTTCTCAGTTCAAAAAATCAGGGAAATGAAGAGTCTGAAAGTGGCCTATTTAGCTTAATCAGGCTCAAAGGAAAGAATATGTTTGATTTCCATTTTTGAACTAATACACCAGAGTTTTCAACATCAAGAAAATCAATTTAATGTGTTGCAACTAGTATTTTTTAAAATGATATTTATACACTCATATTCATAGCAGCATTATTCACAATAGCCAGAAAGCGGGAGCAATGCAATGTCCATTGATGAATGAAAAGATAAACCAAATGTTATATCTATCTATCTATCTGGATACATATGCATCCAGTGGAATATTACTCAGCCTTAAAAAGGAAAGAAATTTGGACACATGCTATAACATGGAGAACCTTGAGGGCATTATGCCAAATGAAAGAAGCCAGTCACTAAAGGACAAATATGATTCCACTTATGTGAGGTACCTAGAGTAGTTAAGTTCAGACGCAGGAAGTAGAATGGAGGTTACCAGAGGCAAAGGAGGGGAAATAGGGAATGACCGTTTAATAGGTATGGAGTTTGGGATTAGGAAGATGAAAAATGTGCTGGAGATGGTTGCTGGTGATGGTTGCACAGCAGCGTGAATGTAATTAATGCACAGAACCACACACTTAAAAGTTAACATGGTTCTTTTTATGTTATAAATATTTTACAATAAAAATAAAAAGAAGTAGAATAAAATATAGCTTACATAGATGTGTTTATTGTGTGAAAATTTATCAAGATCTACACTTATAATCATGTCCTTTTCTGCCTATTTGCTATGCTTCAATAACAGAATTATTAAAAATCCGAACATAGTAGAAGTCAGAACGCATTGTCCATAATAAGGGTAAGTGTTGTTTTGTGAAACGTTTGTTATGGTTAGAAGTGTGTGTGTGTGTGTGTGTGTGTGTGTGTGTGTGTGTGTGTGTGCTGCATCATGATGTTAAGTATATTTTGGATTGTGGTTTTTAAAAAATTGAAGAAACATTATTCTGGGGCTAGTCTCCATTTCTTAGTGCGTGGTTCCTTCCATCTTGAATTTGATATGCTTTTCCCAGTGGAAGTAATTTAATTTTGACATTCATCTATTCAAGCAGAAAAATCCTTTCCCTGGGGTCTTTTCATAATCATTTTTCTCCATCTGACTGCTCACAGTAACTAGATTGTATATGCTAGATTAACCAGTAAATTCATGAACAGACTTTCTATCATTTTGCTCCATGGACTGTTCATGAAAGCATTAGCAGCGTACATCACGATGAGAGATGATGATATGAGCTTCATGCTTCAATTCAGAAAAACTACAGTTCCTTTAAACCATAGGGTGTTCGAATTTTCAGAGTCCTTGGTGGTTGTGGTTCTAAAGCTCTTGTGCTCATAGGAATCTCGTCTGTATCATCTGAAACAGTGCTTGAGTGTTCATCCAGTGCTTGAACACTTCTGATGGCCATAAGGCATCTCAGCCCATTGATCCATTGCTGGGTAGCCTCCGACTCTAGAAAGCCTGCAAGGGTAGTTTCATGGCAGAATTGGGTGGTAAGTCACCCTGGAACCAGAAGAGGCATCTGTGATCAGCTAAGCCTTGGTCAAACAGGTGCCTGGAACCATTTGTCATCCACATTTAAAAGGCATCCTTCGTGGGGCATGTGTATTGGTTTAAAAGGGTGCACTTTAATTTTCTGTGTGTTTTAGTAGAATGGAGCACTTAATGCCAGACACTTCTAAAACAGGAGAGGAGGCATTGATTTAAGTATTGTGAACACGGGATCAGTGACTGCACACTGATGATTCCATTCTATCTTTATGATCCTGGGGAGAAGGCTCTCACGACTGGGGGGCATCTTTCTCTTGGGTCCAAGTGGCCCTGCTCCCCACACCCTCCCTGTTATAGGCGCCGCCTCCAGTGGGGAATGAGGGCCCTGAGGTGCCTCAGCAATGCCTATGGCTGATGGGTGAGTCTAATTCTAGGGATCAGTATTTGGAAGTCCACTTGATTATATAAGCCACATCTTCAATTATCAGTTTTATCCATAATGATGGTAGTATTTTGACCTTCCTTTGCTTTTTGTTTTTACTTTAAGCATGTTACTCATTAGGCCACTGGAATGCAACAACATAGACTTCTATATCCAACTGGCTAAAGAAAGCTGCACAACTGGGCAGATTTGTGAAACTCCAGGTTAGACCCCAACCCTCTATGGCTATTCCTCAGCACTTTTACCTGACTGTAGCCAATTTCCTTTCCCATCCTCCTCATCACTGAAGTCAAGCCGCTTCTTTCTGATGTCCAACTGTAGTCTGTGACGTCCAGCTGCTTATCCTCTCTGCTGGCTGAGTTCTGAGGTTCTTATGGGCGCAGGATAGGGAGTGGGGTGAGCCAAGGGTGGTTTTGGAAAAGGCAACATTAGAGCGGGAAAACAGGGATGTAAGTCCTTGTTTTGGCCACAGTATTAAGCTTTTCGCCTTGAGGATGGGGCCTTTGTCAGGGACCCACCCTCTTCTGCCCAGAATTTCCCTGCCTCCTGTCCCTGTCATTATTATAAACTGAATGGATTTAGAAATTACTTTTTGTTGGCCAGGTGCAGTGGCTCATGCCTATAATTCCAGCACTTTGGGAGGCTGAGGCAGGTGGATCGCTTGAGCTCAGGAGTTAGAGAGACCAGCCTGGGCAACATGGCAAAACTCTGTCTCTACAAAAAATATAGATAGATAGATAGATAGATAGATAGATAGATAGATAGATAGATAGA